AGTGAAATGCATAAACTACTTTCTCAACATCCTTCTTCTTCTTCTTCTTCTTCTTCTTCTTCTTCTTCTTCTATGTATCACTTCCCTTCAGAACATAGGTGATCATGGCTTTCCACAGCTTCCTTTCTCATGTGGCTTTAAGCAGTTTTTCTCTGTTTGCTAAGGCCTTGGCCTCTGTTTCACCATCCATTCACACTAGCTACTCTTGCTGCCTTCCCTTATCTCTTTTGTCCTTAATATGTCCTGTGAGGTTTAAGTTTTCCAAGCTCTCCTTCCTTGTTATGTGTCCAAGGAATTTCAGCTCTTTTCCTGATTCTGAGTAGAAGTGTTCTTTCTGTTGCCATTTCCATTAAGACATCCTTATGGCTTACTCACTCCATCCATAGAATTTTCATTATTCTTCTGTAGAACCATATTTCTGCTGCCTTTATTTTTTTTTTTCATGGTAGATTTTACTACCCTCTAAGCAACATTCCAAAACCAGACGCTAGCTACAAAATATAAAGAAAGATTACAATTACGTTCATCTATTTTGTTTTGATCTTGGACACAGAAGATTAATAATAATAATAATAATAATAATAATAATTTGAAGGGATTCCTGGAAGTCCATGTCTCAAGGAGATACAAAAAATTGTTCTGACAAGTACAGCCCACACCTTATGAAGGGCTTTATCTATGTAATTTAATTTTTTTTTTGTCAGTGGAAAATGTCATGATGCCATTTTTTAACCTTAGGTCCCTGGGGGGACCCGAAAAGAAATGTGTAAACGCCAGAAATCAAAGAAAATAAAATAATAATAACAGCATTTTTTATGATCTTACATTTCTGGTTGGGACCCGGAAGGAAATGTGTACACAACAAAATCAAAGGAAATAATAATAATAATAATAATAATAATAATAATAATAATAATAATAAACTTTTACAGAAAGGAAACTTGACATGACAGAGTTGGCCAATATCTGCACTGGAAAATCTGCAACTTTTATGGAAAAGAAACTCCAAGAAATTGGTATGAACACTACCCAAACTAGTCATGAAGATAGGACCTATAACAATTTTATGGGACTTTACAATACACACAGACAGAACAATCCAAGCTAATCACCCAGACATCATGATTAGAGACCGCAAAGACAAAAATGTTTTCTTATTGACATGGCAGTTCTTGCCGACTGCAATGTATCTTTGAAGATCTTCAAAAAAACTCTCAAAATATAAGGACCTTGAAATCAAAATCTCAAAAATGTGGCACATGAGAACATCAACAATTCCAATTGTAGTTGGAACCCTCGGATTGATTGAAAAAGATTCCAGTAGACTCATTGAAGGTATTCCTGGTAACCCATGTCTTAAAGAAATACAAAATATTGTTCTCACAAGTACAGCCCACACCTTATGAAGGGCTTTATCTATGTAAAATATGTGTGATTCTTTTTCAAATCATCTCAGTGGAAAATGTCATGATGCCTTTTCTGACATTAGGTCTCTGGTCAGGACCTGGTAAGAAATGAGTACACACCAGAAATCAAAGGAAATAAAACATTAATAATAGTAATAAAAAAAATAAAAAACTGCAATATCAAAGTAATAAGACGGTAAAACCATTCAAGTGAAAGCATTTTTTTTTAGGATAAAATTAACAATATAGACATTATGAAAAAAATACCTTAGCAATAGCTGGCTCATAGTGTAATCTTTAAAGTGTAAAACCATAAATTGAATTTAGGTAAAAATAGTATATGTGAAATAAGAGGGGGAAAATAGCCCCATTAATATTACATGCTAATTCATTATACTAATTCATCTAAATGTTCCCCGCACCCCCAAAAAACAACATGCTACTCATGGTGGATTACCTCTCCCCCTCCCAATGCATGAAATCTACTGGTAAATTTATGCATGGGGTGTTTTCATTGATTTATTGATAAGCCATTTACTAAGTGTTAATAACCTGTATATTGCTCACTAGATCCAAGATTTTAGCATTCATATAAAACTATTATTCTTATCATATGCTTTGTTGTCTCATAACTGAATCATAACAATTAAATTCATTTTTGTTTAATTCACTGCGTTAATTGTAAAACAACCACAATAGTGTTTTTGCTTCTGGCTATTTTATAAACATTGCATAGCAGGTATTAAAGGCATGTTTATATATAAAGATAAAACAAGAAAAACATAAACATGCTCAGTATATATAAAACATGTTATATATAAAATATATATGTTACATGTAATATATCTCTATATATAAAACAGAAGCTGACTGTGTGTATGTATGCTATTTATGCACCTCCACATTTCTTGACTGATTTGTTGTATATATATGTTAATATAGATATATGATATATATATATGTTATATGTATATATATATATATATATATATATATATATATATATATATATATATATATATATGTATATATATATATATATATATATATATATATATATATATATATGTGGAACAAAAGTTTATAATGCCAATATTTTTTAATTGATACTCATAATGCAAAAATATAAAAAAAAAAAAGCTAGCTTTTTCATTTTTAATTTTGCATTATGAGTATCAATAAAAATATAATATTTTATTGCCATTATATATATATATATATAGATATGTGTGTGTGTGTGTGTATATATATATATATATGTAATATATATATATATATATATATATATATATATATATATATATATATATATAGAAAACATGCAAGTTATATATATATATATAAAATATGGTAGGTGGATCAAATAAGAGCCAATTACATAGATCTATTTGGGCCATAAAGATAAAAAATGAATAGCTATTAGTCATGTCTTGTCAAGGGCAAGAGATGCTGGCTGCTTAGTTTAAGACTCATGTAAAAAATTACTACCACCAGATAGAAGGAAAAATGAAAGCCTTATAGAATGACTTTATCTACAGATTGCTGTTCAATGAAGCATTCTTCTGCTTTTCCTGTTTACCAACCACTAACTAAAAGTATGTTGAAGTCTGAACGTTCCCCTTTTATAGTTTGCAAACTGAACATTTCTATAAGTTAACAAATAACTTATGGAGATCACTAGAAAATTCCATAAATTTCTTATAACTGTAAATGTTATTTTTAGTGGATACACATGTTTAAATAGAAACCCTGCTTTTTAAATACTATGAATTACATCACCTGTGCATTCTAGAGTCTTAAAAGAGTGAGATGCAAGTTTAAACCCTATGGAGGACATATTCTCTTTCTTTCATTTCTCAAATAAACATTTGATTTTGTTTAGCAGCATATCAACACCTCTATGGGTTATTTAATGCCAATTTTATAGCATCAACTAAATATATTTTGAACACAATTGTATGCTTACAACTACAGATAAAATGCATTGTTGGTAATTTTTTTTTACTTAAAAATATGTTACTGGTATTTTTACTATAAAAATGTATTTTTATACTTTTCTAGTGTTTTATTTGGGTAGGGGTTCATATTTGCCCATAGCTGGTACCCTAACAGGTGCTACTACCCTGGGTCAGGGTGGACTTGGAAACAACAGCAATTAAAAGCTCAAATGCACAGGCAGGTAGATGCAATTAACAGTCTTAAAAATACCTCAAATATGTACATCCATTAAAAATAATGTTTACAGTAATAAGAAATAATGTTGGATTAAAAATAAAAGTCCATTAATTCCTTAGAAATTCTATCAATATTATAAATATAAGATCAATACAAATATAAAACTTTTCACTTAACTGATTGATGTCATATTCAACACCTCTACTCCAAAGTTTGATAGACAAACCTTTGTGTAATCGTTCAGTTCACTTGTCAGGAGGTATTGGCAGTTGACTGCTGATTTTCTTTTTTTCATTATTTTTATATTAAGTTAAGAATTATTTATTAAAGTTATATAAGAATTTCTTTAAAAAAATTTTTATCAGATATCTGCTTTAGAATGATAAATGTTGTGACCTTGTTAGGGCTAGAAATAAAGATACAAAGAGAGGAATTGAGTTAAACAAATATATTAACAGAAACAGTAATATAAACATATAAAAATGAGAGTGTTACAGCAAGAATGTTCAGGCCGACTGTCAGAGCTGAATGCTGGAGACTTCCCTTTCCAAAAGGCAGTACCTGCTCCTATTTATATCTGGAAGAGTCTATGCGTGTGATTGTAAATTACCATAACAATAAAGACATATGAGTCTGGCATGGTTGGGAGTTTGTTCCTCCTTGTGTGCTTAATAAATTTTGCCTTATGCCATCATAAGTTTAATCTAGTCAATCTAAAAAGAAGTGAGCACTTGCTGTAGAGTGATGGCTTGTTTGCTCAAGCAAACATATCATTCAGATTTTTTAACCCATTAGGTGCTAAATGAATTTGACTTAGCACTACTGTTGACCAAATATTCGCTTACACACAAATACCCTTGGGAAAGATATGAATTCCTCTCCTCCCACAGCTATGGGTTAAATAGTAGGTATCTGGAGAAATCATTGTTATCTCCAAAATATTGTTAATGCAATAGTCGCTTGCAAAAAAAAAATGGAATTATTTCTGCAATCTAAAATATGCTTCAAATAACTCATAAAGGGTTGATGAACCATAAAAATTCTACAATTTCATCTTAAGAAACAACTAAGAAACTGCTACACAGATATATACCTACACAAGAAATAAAACTCATCACCTTAATTTTGTAAATTTTAAAATTGGTTTCATTGACTGTTTTTGGTTTATTGATTATCAATCTTTTGTAGGTTATTTAAAGCCAAAATATATTTTTGGATTGTAAAAATAATTCCTTTTTTGTGTGAGTGATTATTGTATTAACAATATTTTGGGGATAATAATGATTTTCAGATACAATCCTACTATTTGACTTATAATTCATACCATTCCGAAGGCTATCTGTGTGTAAGTGAATGTAACAAACCCGGTTCAATTTCATATTTCAAGCTATTATCTATTACACCACCTGCACATCCAAGCTTACAGTACCTTATATTCCCAAGTGGTGACCCATCTAGGTACTGACCAGATTTGATGTTGCTTAACTTCAGTGATCAGATGAGAACTGGTATTTCAACATAACATGGCCATAAGCTTTGGTTTCACTGAATCCATTCCATGCTGATGTATTAGAGAACTGTTATATTCCATGCTAATAGGAATATATACTTGACAAACATGGTGGATAAAATAAGTAAAGGTTTATTGTAAAAAACCAATATAATAAGAATAAAGGTAACAGTTATGTACAAGGTCGTCACAAGTTAATCCAGTAGGGAGTGCTACTATTGGAAGGTTGGTAGTTCTCGCGTAAGTCTGAGTGGTACTCAACAGATTCCAACTAGTGTATTTACTAAGATCCCCACACAATCAGATGTGGCACAAGGCCGGGTTTAATGTGGGGCATCCGAGCCTGTAGGCTCAGCCAAAAATTCCTATAGACCCCATATAAAACGGGGTCAAGTAACTGTTTCCCGAGATGAGACTCTGCCTTTTGGCATAGTCTTGTCTGGGGATCCTCTCTGCTCGGAGGCAGAGAGTTCAACCAGCACAGCTGAAACAGATTTCAGCTAGTTGGTATTTACTAGCCCCAAACCCCTGCTCCCATGAGGGTAGATGTGGCACAAGGCCGAGTTTAATGTGGGACATCCAAGCCCTTAGGCTCAGCCAAAAATTCCCTGTAGAACCTGCATAAACTGGATTGGGTCAGTTTACCTCCCCGAACGAGACTCTGCCATCGGCATAGCCTAGTCTGGATTCCTCTCTGCTCGAAGGCAGAGAGTTCAACCGTCTAGCTGAGAAGATTTCAGCTAGTTAGTATTTACTAGCCCCACCACGAGGGTAGATGTGGCACAAGGCCGGGTTTAATGTGGGTTCACCAAGCCCGTAGGCTCGGCCAAAAAATGCCCGTAGAACCCGCATAAACAGGATCGGGTTGGTCAACCTCCCTGAATGAGACTCTGCCCTTTGGCTGAGCCTTGTCTGGGTTCCTCTCTGCTCAGAGGCAGAGAGTTCAACCGTCTAGCCAAAAAGATTTCAGCTAGTATATCTAACCCCATCCCATGAGGGTCATATGTGGCACAAGGCCGAGTTTAATGTGGGCTTTTCAAGCCCGTAGGCTCAGCCAAAAATATTCCATTTCGAAGATATATAAACAGGTTCAGGGTCAGTCTACCTCCCCAAATGAGACTCTGCCCTTCGGTAGAGCCTTGTCTGTGTTCCTCTCTGCATGAAGACAGAGAGTTCGAATGTGTAGCCAAAAAAAGCGAGTGAAATAAAGAGTTCAGTTCGACATTCCAATCACCTGAAGAAGGCCAGAGCGTAGAACAGCGAAACATGGCAACAAAGATGAGGACAATAGTCCGAATAATGTAAAAAGATTTATTTACCATTCATATAAAGAAATGCAAAGCCGTATATGAAAGTTAGATATAGGCCATAGACAAGTACAGTTCTGCATCCCTATTAACCTGATTACGTCAGGGTTGACCACATGACTGAAAAGGTAGTACCACTGACAATACATCTCATACACCCCAACCAAAACTCAGAATCAGTGTAAAAAATCTTGAATTATTTATCAGTCTATCATATGGACCACACTCTGAATCATAAAGTCATTGGCTGTATAGTATGTGCTTCACTAGGACTTCATATGGTTTTGAATTCAGAAGTGTCCTTTAGATGGGTTAGAGAGCCCAGACTGCTATGCTGTTTAACCCATAACTAAGAAAGAAAAGATGGATTCATACCTTTTACTTGTATACTTGTAAAAAATCAAATGTTTGTTTTTAACAAAGATCATTATTATATTTGTATTGTTTACTATGTTGTGTGTTGTAAGGGTAATAGTAATTTCATTTTTAGTAGAGTTTTTTCTTTAGTTTCCAGAGTCAGGACACCCTGACTACATTCAAAAAAAGATATTGAGATAAATATAATTCTTATTAATGTGAATGTTATATTCACTGAGTATGCATATTTGAATAGACACCTTTGTTTTTTAAACAGTGAAATTCATGTCTACTGGTCTAGAAATTGAAAGTCTTTATAAAGAAAATGTGCCTCCCAACAAAAATTGAAACTGTATTTCTTTTTCAATTTGGGAATTTGCTTTCAAGCCAAATGTGTTTTTACACACACACACACACACACACACACACACACACACACACACACACACACTAATCATTTCACCCCAAGCAAGGCAATAATGCCACTAAGATGTGGGGGGAGGGGGGTTACATGGAGTGAAAATGAAGAAGAATGAGAATGGGAAGGATTGAATATATATATATATATATATATATATATATATATATATGTGTGTATATATATATATATATATATATATATATGAATAAAAAAAGAAAAAACTATACTTAGGCCATATATATATATATATATATATATATATATATATATATATATATATATATGAAGAAATATAAGAAATATAGTAAGGTATGCTATATTTATGGGATAAAGTGCTCAATATCAGAGATAGAGCATATGTAAATATAAAAGTGAACATTGAAGTCAACACTCAGAGGCGACAGGCTGTTTCATGCTAGACACAATCGTCAGGCCACTGAGAGTGTCTAGCATGAAACGGCCTGACAGTTGCATCTAGCATGAAACAGCCTGTCACCTCTGAGTTCAATGTTCACCTTTATATTTATATATATATATATGTGTGTATGTGTGTGTGTGTGTGTTTCAGTAGATGTTCTGTTTCTTTTTTTAACAGTGTGAATTACATCTACCAGCCTATGCATTTGAGATTCTTAATAAAGACACTATGTCTTCCAGCAGGGTTTGAAGCCTGTTTCCCCTTTGAAGGGGAACCACCATCTGATCCAGCATGCTTTAAACTGCTTAGCCACAGACAGCCCAGTAAGCTCAATTACCCTTTTAAAGAATGTGCACCTTCTCATTCAGATCTTCTTGAAAGTCCATACCTTCTCAAAATTCCATGTGTGCCAACTTTATTTTTGTATCCGAAATATAAACTAATTAATTTCTAAGGAATTACTGGATTTTATTTCTAATCCAACATTATTTCATATCTATTTTTTGTCACCTAGTTCTTTTTTGCAATTTTTTAATTTTCTTACCTCCCATCTTTACACTTTTACACCTGTTTTTTCTTCTCCTCATCTCTCTTGACTTTCGCAGTTCCTTTCTGCTTAATATTTTTATGACAGCTTCTCATTCAGATCCCATAACTAGAGATGAACACAGATATTACACTCTAATTTGTTTTATTTTTTTCACTCTGTACAAGGCCCGAGAGCCACTCAAGATAGAGGGTTACAGAGTAAAAAGCACAGCTTGTACTGATATGTGTGGAAGATAACAGTTATCTCTAGTCTTGAACAGGTTAAGATTGTACTAATCGGGGAAGCAACCTCTTGGGAGTTGGTTCTACAAAGCAGTGGTTCATGGAAAGAAGCTGCTTGAGGGGAACATACATCTCATCAAATGAATACAAAGGAAGTCAGGGTGGTTTGCTACAATGTGCATGGCATGGTGGGTCGTAGCTGTGAAGGTTAGGACTGGTGGAATTAAATGATGTACTTCATCTGAACACTCTCCATGGAAATAGCAATAAAGCAGCAAGAGGCTTGCAATGCCTCATCTGTGAGAAAGGTGTTATAGGGTGGAAAATAATTTGTCATGCACAAGGATGCAGAGATACTTTTGGATTCTATCAAGAGTGGAAAGTGAAGACAGGGCATCTCCTGCTGATGTAAATATTCCATTTTCAGGCTGATCTGGCTCTTATAAGAGTAGAGGACAGCAGGATGAGTCAGGTACTTACTGGAGCGGTACAGGAAGCAAACAGCATCTTTAGCAATGGCTTGTATGTACAAGTTCCACCTGATGTCTGGTTTGAGTTTAAGTCCGAGTAGGCACTCTCAGCACAAAGTAGATTAGCATAATGTTTGTACATACAGAATAATTGTATAGATAATGTATTTCAGAATTTCAGTCTACATAGGCCTCCTCGATTTCATTAATACGAAAGAAAGTAATTTCACACTCCAGGGAGAACCAGCTATTGATTTAATGACATGTTTATCTTCTCCTCCCACAACCACCACTTTTACCCCTCTCTCATCACCACTGTCTCAAGTGAGAAGGACACATTTTCTAAGGTGATTATTTGAAGTTAATATTCACTACCTCTGCCATTAACATAATTGACTCCAGCTTTGGTTGCAGTTTTTGTCATATTCAAGGGTCCTTTACTTATCATTGGGTTGGTTCTTGGCATTGCTAATCATCCTTTTCTACTGCTGCCTAATGATGGAATAATGCCATTAATTGTGATGAGACGGAATTTTTAAAAATGTTTAATTTTTATCTTCAATACCATTTAAGTTAAGCATTATGGAAATATAATAACTTTCAACAAGACTTGAACTTGTATTCTGTGTCCTGGGTGCTTGTCTTACATGGATGAGGCTTTAACTAATTCTGCCACAGAAGTTTCAGAGTTAGACAGATATAAAATCCTTAGTGAGATTGCCATTTTTCCTTCCAATGTTGATTTCTATGTTCATATTATTCCCCCCCCTCTCTCTCTCTCTCTCTATATATATATATATATATATATATATATATATATATATATATATATATATATATGCCCAAGTATAGGATTGGTGTATATGGAATAAATTCAACACTATCACTTGATAAGATACAAGAAGTGTTGAAACAAAATGGCTATTTTTGTAGTGATTTTATAACATATTTATGTTATAATTTTCAAATAAATAATTATATATATATATATATATATATATATATATATATATATATATATATATATATATATATATAGAGAGAGAGAGAGAGAGGTAAATAGATACATTCTTTCTTTCTTACTTTATCTATCATTACTTCTCTCTCTCTCACTATCTTGTTTCTTTCAATCTCTCTCCCTATCTGTTCATATCTATTTATCAATCAATCTATCTATATTCTTACTTTCTCTCTCTCTCTCTATCTATCTATCTATCTATCTATCTGTATCCCAGTATTTATCTATCTGTTTGTCTGTAGAGAGGTAGATATTTACT